TCCCCCGGAAGACCGCGGGGGTTTCTTCCCCGCTATCCCGGTACATTTAGCACTCGGAGAAGTTATGGTCGCCGGCCGGCGAACGAGGATCCAAACGGCATTTGTCCGACCCGACGATGCTCCGGGAAATCGGGGGAAATTGTTCGCGGCCGGGGCCCGGTGTTCAAATTTAATGAAGCGGACGATTACGACCGAAAAATGAGATGTTACTTCTGGGAAAGCGCACCGTGGATATCCGCCGGATATTACGAGCAAGGGAGCAACGTCGAGGAACCTAAACGAGTCCAAAGTACCCACTTCTCTGCTACTCAAGCTCGTTTCACAACGCGAGCGTAACCAAGTGTTTTCCGCGAAGCTTCTTGACCGACTTTCCGTCGGTTTCCTTGTGGACACAGAGACATGTATACGGATGGTCTCCTAAATACCAACTGCCGCTGCTCACGGCAGAACTATCGCCGCTGTAACTACTATATCCGTGCAACTTACGATTTCCTCTTCTCGCGGAACTTACTTGTTGCCGCTCGCGCAGCGCACGAACCGCGGCGAAACAGCGCGCAAATGTTCCATCGGTTTCCCTTTTGAACAATCTGACCGTGTTCCACGGTCCCGCGAATTACCGATCTGGTTGGACGAAAGACATTTCGGTCGCTAGAAAAATCAAGCCGAAACTGCAAATTGAAACAGATGCTTTAAACCGAAGGGATTCCGTCGTTTCGACGAGTTTGATAGAAAATCATACGGCAGGAAACTTTGAAAGAATAGGCGCGACGTTTTCGAAGGAAATATATCAACGAATTTCTACGAAATAATTTGACGTAAAAATCTGTAGCACGTACATAATTCGCAGGGGGTTGATCCTGAAATTTGTTAACAGCTTTACAGTCGATTCTCTAATTTTCGCGACGTACCATGTCTGCCTGCCGAGCGAGAGCCTCGGTACCTGTTGAAAATTGTGTCCCTGCTCCGCGAGATAATGCAGCCCGTATTCGGGCGCAACGTTTCAAACAAATAAAGCGAACGAAGCAAAAACGTGGCTCATCTATAACACGGTATCGCGGCGTGGGACATTATCACGCGCGCCCGACGATGGAAGTTATTTGTTCCGATTGCGCATGAAGTTAGCATAAAATAAACAGAGGACGGGCCAGTAATCCGCAGTTCGGCGGACGCGACACGACACGACGATGGGTTTCCAAATTTAGCGGAAGCACAAAGTAGGGATGCGCCGGCTGAGATAGTTTCATAAACAACGCTTTCGAATTCTCTCTCGATGCCGAAGCGCGCCGGGTATTTCCGTTGCGGTGGCCCGGTCAGATTTTCATTAGACTTTCCGCGGAAATTTCACGGGAAATCGGATTAACCAATTTCACCGTCGACGAGTGTGCAAGAGATTTTCATCAGCGGCGCGGGCTCCGTGTGATAGATCGCGAATGCACCGCCGATACCTGCATCGATCGCCGTTTCTGAAAGGTTCGAACATTCGATAATGTCGCGACGTCGACCGTCGACGTCGCGTCGAGAACTCCTGCCGAATTCGAGCCGCGTGCGATTGTTTCGAAATTGTACGGCCCGTGATACGAACTTTCGCAATTTTCGTGTATTTAACTGCGACGCTAATGCGCTATCGATATTTCAACGGTTTAATAAAGCGGGGTGAAAGCGAAAATATTCCTCTTCGCTTGTTCGGAGAAAGTTCGAAAGGAAGTTTCACTTTGTTCAACTAAACTGTAAGCTTTACCAAACCTCGTCAAACTTTACGAAACTGTTTTTCTCGAAATCTTTTCTTTTTTTTAAGCGCATTTTTCCGTATTACGATCGTAGAACAGTACATTTTGGATGCTTCGAATTGCCGGCCGTTTGCTAATTCATTTACACGCTGATAAATTATTGACATTTTTAGCGACGAGATCCGATGATCGTAGGTGCTTAAAAGTAATTGATCGAGTCCATTAAGAACATCTGGTTTCTGTCGATTTATAGAGGTATTAAAGGGAATTTTGCGAGCTATAAAGGAGGGACAGTAAACTATTATTATGTACATCGGAGAAAGATAGAACGGTGAACGTTCGCAAAACGTGCGCACCGAGAAACATTTAATAACGGGAGCGGTGCAAAGTAACAATTTAATTGGTGAAACGATTCAACGAAGATATTTTGTGTAATATGGAGGAGTAACATTCAAGACTGGGAAAGTTGAGCAAAATGAAATTTGGACCGTGAAATACAATGTTACAGCATAGGTGTGACGCGCTGTCCGAAATCCATACGCATGGGAATCCGAATGCACCCGCTAATTATTTGGTTGTTGAGTATCTAACGAACCGTGACTACTCATTGTCCGGTTCGTTAACACCCCGACCCCGCACGCACACACTGTCGCGCTCTCGCACACGGACGGCACGGGATAATTGCTCCAGCCAATTGTAACGTACGTGACGTTTTACGTGTTCCGAGTTTATAAAATAATGCAATCGATGTTGGAAACGTGGAGCTGCTCTCCCGATGATTACAGCGTCTATTGAAAAATACTGATCCTCCGGCCGCGATTATACCACTGATTATTTGAACGGGTTGCGTTAATGAGTTGACTCTACCGGCGATGGGAAATTAAAGGAACTCGCATCAAACAATAGCGAGAACACGAAATTCTACGTCTCGATAGTTTCTTTAATTCGCTGAGATAGAATTGTCACGTGATTTTCTCTATTCGCCCGCCTGTCTAATATTATCTATGTTCATATTAAATTTAAACTGACTTTTCGCTTTAAATTAATATTTTTCTTATGATCGCTCAATACATATAACGTTGGTAGACCGCTATTTATAATTTAAAAAAAAACAGGTCGCCCGTAGCGGCGAAAAGTTTGGCCACCCCCGCGGTATAATGATTTTAGTCGTTATTGGACAACATGCGTATGGAAATGATAAAAACGAATTTGATATACAAATGTTAAAATTTTCGTACGACTTCCGGTGGCGTCGGGTCCCCGTTCGAATAATTTTATAATTTCCAGTCGCGATCGAATGACGTGTTTGGGTGTTTTCTCGCTCCCCTTTCCTTCTCGATCGTAGCTTACTTAACATCAAAGTGCTCCAAGTAGGCCACTCCGTTAAAACGCTAAAAAATTAAATGCAATATGCAAACGAATCCCCCTGTTCTCAATGATGAAACGTTCCTCCTACAGGGTAAAGATATAGCCCTCCCCGGTCAAAGGATGTTCAGAAGAAGTTCGTTTGCTCGTCGGCTATAAAAAGTTTTAAAATAGAGGCATTAAACAAAATGCTGACGCTCGAGAAAGTGACATGGTTCCGGCCTCTTGTGAAACGTCCCGAGGATAAGAGAAGAAGCAGGTGTAGGTTTATGCAAGACAAGCATTTCGCCGCATAATATCGGTCTTAAAGTGCACTTTATTAAAATAACAACCGCGGAACAAAGTTGAGTCGCAACGGTAGATAGCTCGATTCGGGAAGCTGAACCGGCCGCGGCCGCGCCTAGAGTTCCCGCTTTGTTGCGAAAGTACGGAACACGATTCGCGGGCGAAACATACACGAGTCGTGCTCGGTTAACTGAAAAGTCTTTTCACATTTGTTCCTCGTTATTGCATTTTGAAACTACCGGGTAGACCGTGGATTTTCATGGAAAATTAGGATCGTCTTTCGTAAAGTATAAATTATTTTCCTTCGAACGATTGTTAATGAGTTGATAAAATGTTAATGTTTTTTTTACTTGGCTACGATCGAATTCCCCGTAATCGGTACAAAATTTTGTGTAATATTTTACAAATTTCATATATATCTGGATAGAACATTCTCGCGCAGAAAACTTACATCTAATATAATTGATCGTTATTAATTTGATCCACTTTTTCGATAGCGTAATGTACTATTTAAACTTCAAAATTTATTTCATCGTTTCTTAGAACAGTTTTCGTTTTTCTTCTTTACCCCTATTTTCCCTAAATTACTTTATAAAATGTACATGTAGTTGTTACGAAGTGTTAATAACGCGATTAATACTATTCTATAGAATAAGTATAACATTATGTTATATTAAATAATATGAGAGTACCGCAGAATACATTTTTGCTTTAGCAATAATGGTTTCAGCTTCCAACGGCCAACAAAAATATAAAATGCTTCCGTAAACAATCCTAAACGTATAATAACATATGTAGCAACTGATATTTGCTTTTTTTTAAATGTGTAACTTTCATTTGTAACGTATATCATATTTGCTCGAGTATTAATTACATATTACAGGGAAAAAAACACTTATGAAATTTATCTTTGGCAAATAAATATTACTGTCACAGTATCATCAAATATTCCACGCGGTATAATAATAACAAGACAAATATTGCTATATAACTGATCTTAGAAAAAAAAACTCAAACATTTTAACGTCAACGAATAATACTGTTCTTTTTGTACATTTGATCGAATACTAACAAGGGCGAGTTACGAGATGCTTTTCTGCTCTCAAATTCAATTTCTCAAGCTCCCCTTTTTGTATTAACTCTTATGAAATTCAAAATTCTATGGCATGTAACGATGAACATAAAACATGTATTTCAATCATTGCGATTAAAGCTATATCCTATCAACTAGATATACAGTAATGTCTCCCTAATTGACGCTCGGATTGTGCAGAAAAATGGACAATTTGGGAAGAGGAGATACGATTATTCGAGCCTTGCGGTTTATTGTTATAAACCGTTATAAATTGTCCACAATTATAAAAACGAGCCGCAAGGCTCGAACAACCGTATCTCCTCTTCCCAAATTGTCCATTGTAGTGGACAATCCGAGCGTCAGTAAGGGAGACATTACTGTATCCCTGTCTCTTATACACATCTAGATGTGTATAAGAGACAGGGATACAGTAATGTCTCCCTAATTGCTGTCTCTTATACACATCTAGATGTGTATAAGAGACAGGGATACAGTAATGTCTCCCTAATTGACGCTCGGATTGTGCAGAAAAATGGACAATTCGAGCGTCAGTAAGGGAGACATTACTGTATCCTGCACGCCTATTCCCGTCTCGTTCAAAAGATCTTGTACTTGTCGAAATCGATAGCAGCCAAAAAGTCTCGGTGCAGTTCGGTGACCACCGGCCCCGTGATGCCTGTATCCAAATCAACGTGCAGCTGTTGCTCGAAGCTGAACGCAAAAGTTGACACGTTCTCTTTGTTCGAGCCTCGTTTACGGTTCGCGGACCAGTTCTGTCTGACGGAAACAGACTCCGTGGCCGTGGCTTCCGCGAAATTCACCTGACCGGGGTAGTTGTTGTTCTGCTGTCTGAACGGTATCTGGAATTTCCGCGACACGTTTCCCCTGAACCGGTTCAGAAGCAACTTCTTCACGGGCAACCCGCAACAATTGGACGTCTCTTGCGCGATATTTTCTTCGGACACCGACGTCTCTTCGACGTCCCGATCCGTCGGCACGGTCGCGTTGTTCGCGTCCTCGTCCGATTTTTCGCCGGTTTTGCTTATCAGCGACGACGCCGACAACCTCTTCATGTAAAGCCTCAGCCGGCGATCCGTGAGGAAACATATCAAAGGTATGTTCTCTATGTCGCGATCGGTGTACGTCAACTCGTACGTCAGGCTCATACGAGTTAGCACTTTTCTCTGCCTCTTCTCGCGGATCCTCTTCGAGTATCGTCGTTCGAATTGCCATTTCCACGCGTCCCCGAGATCGTCGTCGTAGACAGGCTGCATCGTCGGCACAGAATCGCTGGTGATTTTATATTTTGTTTGGGTCGTGATCGCATTTGTACGCCTTTCCGGGTGATATTTCTCGCAGTGGATGTAATAGTTACCTTTAGTGAAGAATATTTGTCCTGAAAAAGCACAGCGTATTGTACTCTCGGCCGCGTTACTCACTTGTGTTTATTATTTTCGAGTTTTATACGAAGAATCTTGTGTATTTTTATAACAAAAATTGGTAGAAAGATCGTTCAAGTATTTTTAAAATGGTGCTGCATTATTTTCAACGAGTTTAAATGATCGAGAAAAGAAAGAAATGCAACTCCTGTATCTTGCAGTTAAATGCAGACGATATTTATTTCAAGTAGAAATTTGCAACCGTAAATTGTGCTACGAGATATTCGGACGAGTTTAAACATATTTTACTGTTTTAGAATAATTCTGCTCCATTCGGATGCTTTTTAATAAACATATTTCCCACAACTTCGAAAACGGGGAAAATAACGCGGTTTCGTCCGCCGCTGCAACCGAGCCCCATTTTTGCACTAATTTTCGGTTTCGTATACCATCAATTTGTACGGCACAGCAATTTTTGGAAGCCCGGCTCTCTCTACATACCGTGTTACACGTGGTCTGGCTGCCCATGTAAATGCATATTCAACAACAATTACATTTTCCTGTGAGTTTGAAAATTTGCAATTTTCTGCCGTTATTTACCCAAATGTATGCGCGCACTCGATTCCAATGGAATCGTTTAGTTTCGCGTCCCATTCATTTATTGATTCATTCGTCGCGTGCGAGGCCGCCGATAATAGTCCGGGTGGCAAACGGAGAGCAAAGGCAAAAATGAGAGGTCGAAATTGACACCCGAACATGGTATTATTATTGGAGGGTCCTTCAAAAAGCGGACTGACGGTTTTATCTAGCCGCGGTATAGAAACAACAAAGAACCGTCCGTGGCGCGGTCAGATTCCCGATCCTCCGCATCCCTCGGTTTGTTTGGATTCAGATAATGCCGTCGATCTTCGAAATAAGAGCCCGGGCGTTCGTATTTGTCAAACAACCGTCTCCCCGACGGGTCTCCGCAATTATTTCGAATTTCGTTCGTTGCTTCGAGCATCGTTCATTCGAACGAAAACACCCTCGACGCCGAAAAAATAATTCAGTGATCTCTCTCTCTCTCTCTCGATAAGGGATGAAGAAACCTAATCGACGGTTACATTACCGTGAGCGTTTGTATACAAATTAAAAATTAATCTTGCACAGAATAGATTTCTTTCAGAGTTGATAACAAATTAATAAGTCAAATACTCGTTTCGCTTTTGTCATAAACGCGCAGTAAAGATTTGATTTGAGAAATCTGCGAACTCAGACTATCCGAGTGTTCTAATATTGATACGAAAATTCAATCGTGGCTTGTAAACGTGTTCGGTAAATATAAAAAATGCAAACTCGAATAGCGTTTACGTTACTTCGGTCCTCCTTCGAGCCGAGAAAACTAATGCACGCAAATAAACCGCAATTCGAATTCTATTTTCATGAAATTTGCCTAGAAAAGCGGAGAATTAAACGAGCTCCGTTGCTTAATAGCTACCAACGGGAGGCATAATTTGATTATGAATTAGAGATCGTGGGAAATGTAATTACCGCAGCAGTGGTGCAAGCTCTTATTGCTGTGTATCCTCTCCTTGTGACGTTCCACGTTGAACGGACGATTACTTTCGTACCGACAATACAAGCAGCTGTAAGACTGTTGCTTCGCGCGACGTTTCTTCCGCGTCGGGAAATCATCCTGAATCTGTTTTCTGGGATCATGCATTATTAAATTAGATTTGTCGCGTAACTTGCGGCAACTTCGCGGACCTTCCCGGCTAACCGATGTTACCCGCGCTAAATAAATCTTGAAAAACAAGAAATTCAGAGTGAAGAGCTTAACTTCGTGAAATTATTAGCTACATAAAATGCCATCCTCCTCAACCGAACTTTAAAAGACGCGAACTTTCTTTGGAACTGGGTACATCTGAGACGAGTTCCGCGGGAAAACGAACACCGAACTTCCCTTCTCGACTAATTTTTTATCACCGCGGTTCGTGGCCTACGTGCAATATTATTTCGTTAATTTATCGATAAAGATGGTTTTCCAAATACGTTCCGAACGAAGCACTAACATTTTCTTATTCGTTCTTGTTGCTAAATTCCGCAAAAAATCGTTAACTTTCTAAGATTTTCGGACGCGTCATTTTCTCACTAATTTCAACGCCGAAGTAACACATATTCTTCACCGCTCGCAAAAAGGATCTATAATATTCAAATGTCGCGATTTTCCAAAAATCTTGTCTTTTTTCCTCTTGTTTCTTTCCCAAAAGATAAACTCGCCTTCGCGTCACTATCACATCCATTATTTTGGTCGAAGAGAAAACCGCGGAAATGAGTCCTACGCACTTCGGATTTCCGCACGATTAATTCGAAATACGATAAATTCAGGGTGGAAAATGGTAAAAGTACTTGGCGAACGGTACTAACATGTTTTCCGTAGCGGTGCAAACGTCCATGATCGCCGAATGAAAGCGAAAACTTCGAAAACTCGGGAGGGCCCACTTATATCGTCACTCCTGTCAGCGACGATGTTCTCTGCACGCGTTTCACTGACTAACTGACGCGGTGCCAAGGGGATGTTCAAAGGAGAAGGATCTCGAATCGCGACGATTGACACCGCCGAAACCGAACGCACACGTGCGGTCGAAAGCCGGGCAACCGATCTTCTTCCGCGTGCACACCGCCGCGATGTTTCATCGATAAACCGTTAGCCGAAAACAAAAGCCTTTACTTTGATCCGCACCCGATCCGCAAAATTTAAAACCGGTATGCCCCCAATAAAATCCATACCTGTCGTGATCGGAATTAAACGACAACTTTCCAACGATACAAAGAAAGAAAAAAACATTGCACCCAGACTAAGACTAGACGGAATCAAATAAAATTGAATTTAAAAGGTAATCTTCGTTGACTGTATTACATTTCGTCGTTTTACGTGTCAAAGGATTTTCGTCGAAGCGCCACGGACAGATAATTATTTATTTACTGCACCGGAATGATCGCGTTTCCGATAATACCGAATTTTCGATGTATACGTAATGCACATTGTAGAAACACTTTCAATATCGTTCGATCGGTGGACGCCATGCATTTTAAGCGGCAGCTATCTGCTGAGAAGATGCACCGAACGAATTTCGATGGGGCAACACGGTTCTTGAATAATAATCGGTGTTAATTACATACGTGTGTAATGGCCACCGCTCCGTATATGTAATGCTTTCGCAAGCGTTCTGATGCCGTTTGTCTCGCTAATTTTAAGCGAATCCAATCTACTCTTATAGCCGGTCCCCCTTGAAACAGGAAATGGAAATGTACAAAAAACAGCTGGATTACCATTTTTGATGCTATTACAATCCTTTTGCCTTGCAACTGAAAGTGTAATACCATTGTCTTCAATTTTTATCCGCTTCGATTGACTCCAATAAGTTGGAAAGTGTATACCAATATACCAAAAGCATAATATCCGCGATCTATGCATTTATTTCATTAATTCTCCTAATCGTGACATCAACGATTGTCCGAGAAACGTCGTGTTTGGATTCATTTTAACCGGAAAATCGACCCCGACGCGACGGTAACATTTTCCCAAAGATACGGCAAAGGATTGGAAAGTTTTGGTTTTGCTTCTGTGAGGGTAACACGGATACGCGAGCGGTATACGTTCCGAGCGTTTGAAGTGTCGGGCGTCGCGTGAAGTATGGCTCCATCTCGCTCGCTTTCACCCGGCCATTGAAGTCTCGCTCGCACGCCGAATAAGAGACAGAAAATCGTTGATCCGTACATTGTTGCGGGTTCTTATCTAGACCCTCTGATGTCGAGGAGTTAAAGTTGCAACACGGAGTTTAAACAACCACGAATATTCTTCCGTAGTATCGCAAACGAATGTTGCTCGCTGCATGAACCAGTGGAAGACGCGTCGGTGTATTTATTGCAAGCGTTTCGTAACGGTTGCTTAGAGGAATTCCCGTCTTTTTCATAAATAATGCACGCCTCTTGCGTCGTCGCTTGTCAGCGCGGGCTATTAACGACGGCAATACGTTTTTTTTTCCATTTATGCGTCGTCTCGTGGCCGTGGTTGACAGTTTCGCGACCTCGCGCATTGTTCGACTCGCGATTATTGCGACTGCGAAGACGTGTTATTCGATCAACTTATTTCTTCTGGGTATTTTGGGCAGCTTGTTAAGCTTTACGCTTTTTCCAAAGCGTAAATCGATAAGAAAATATTGCACCTGCGGTCGAAGCGATCCGTTTTTAATTTAACCCTAGAACTACCAAACGAGACAAATTGATTGATTTCTGATTTTTTGTTTTACAGTTTCTGATATTATAAAAATATTTCTAGAAGAAATTTTTAGGTACATAAATCCATACGCAGTCTTGGCATAGTTATAAAACAATATGTACCTTGGTCGCGTTTAGGGATCGGTATTTCTAGTGTCAAATTACGAAAGCTCGTTCAGTCAACAAAAGCCTTTCAATAAATCCAACTTCGGTAATTGCAAAATAAAGAAGTAGGTCGCTTCGACCCGTTCGCCAGTTCCAACCCTTAACCCCTGAAACGTTGCTTTGACATTCTCGCATTTACGTCGGGCTAGTACGAAAATTTGAACGCGCGTAAGATTTATTTATAAATGTTTATAACGCGTGAAATGGTATCAAAGCAAATTTTCGATTCGGTTCTAATTGACCGGAACAGTGAACAAGGGTTAAGAGGAGCGAGAATAAAGCGCTGTGATATCAGAGCAAACGAGGAACCGCCGAAAGTTTGCAAAATGCGATTATAAATTCACTTTAAAATGCCGATTATTTCGTTTATAAAACGTGCACGCCTTTGTTCCTTTATGCGGCAGAATATTTAAAGAATATCACGATCGATCCTCGGACAGCAAACCTAATTTTGTCCCAGAGTGTTCAAATCGAGAATTTTCGCCAATCGAATGAAACAAATAGCTGTTCCATCAGAGCCAAGAGAAAAATCAATACACAGATCCGCAAGAAGTCGCATCGAGAAGTTCACGTTGAAAAATTTAACGGATGATAAATCTGGCTACGAGAATGCTCGCAAGCAGCGTCAACGGTATCGATGTCGCGAGTACAGTAATGTCTCTCTAATTGACGCTCGGATTGTCCACAGAAACGGACAATTTGGGAAGAGGAGATGCGATTATTCGAGCTTTGAGGTACGTTTTTATAGTCAGAAATTGTCAACGATTATAAAAACGAGTTACAAGGCTCGAATAATCGTGTCCCCTCTTCCCAAATTGTCCGTTTTTGTGCACAATCCGAGGGTCGGTAAGGAAGACATTACTGTAATGTCCGCCGTTCGAAGGTTACCCACGGACATCCATCAGCGAGCGCTCGCGCCAGGTAATATCCTGTTAATGGGCCCGCGGACAATGGGTCCAAGATACCGTTCGATTTCAATTTCCCTCGAGCGGCTTGTAAAGATGCGAATCTGCATAAATACCCGCGGACCAGCGATAAACGTCGAGTGCGCGGCCCTTATAAATATTCATATTCGTCGATTAAAAACCGTTCCGGGGAACGGAGCGGCGGGAATAAAAGAAGAAGAAGCAGCGAGCAACCCCTTCGCGTGCCGGTTCGAAGCGGCGCAACGACACCGTGGCTGTCCATAAACCATAAACCATAAACCAGCCTGAAGTGGGACGAGACACGGTCGCGACGCAAGGTGCAAGTCCGCGGCCGGACAGGTATGTATCGCGCGTTGTACCCGTCCCGCTCGTAAAAACCGAGGTGCTCGATCCCCCGGAGAAATAGTCCTGTGGCCGGGTTAACCCTGCAGCCGGCCACTGAACCCACGACCTCGCTCGGACGCGCCTAGAACGCGCGGCCCCGGCCGCGAAGACGTATCCTCTCCGTAAAAACTGGACCCCGAAGAGCGGAAAGGCCTCGGCGAGAGCGCGGCGATCCGCCGGGCACCGAGGAATCACGGGTCTCTCGTGAAATTTCAACGACCGGGCCGCGCCGCGTTTGATCGACACTACGCGCCGGTCGTTTCGCCGGATTCTGCGCTGCACAAGCGGATAGTCATTTAATATTCCAAGGAATTTCCCAGCGTACTCTTTCCCCGGCTCGGATTACCCTTTACGAATGGATGAGAAAGGGCTCGATGGATTCTGCGGATCCGGGGACGGCTCTGCTTTGACGGATCGCCGGGTCCGTTTCGCCGTTCTGTTGCGCGCGGTTTATTTATTATTTAGGACGCGCCGAGGAAGTAATCTGATGTACAGCCTTCGATAAATCGATTACAAATAAGATGATGATAAACATCGACTCGGAGAGTGCATAAGGGTTAAGCAGGAGTCGAACGGAGCGTGAAACCGATAAACTCGTTGGACCGCGATCGCATCCGCGCCGAAAAGTAACGTCGAATTTCCCAAGGCCTGTCCAGCCGATTTTGGAGCCGCGTTTAAAGGTCGAAGGTATTAGCTCGCCGGTGAATCGAGCCGCGACGATAAAAGGGGAAATATCGTCGGAGGTTAGTTTGGGACCCCGGACCGGAGAGTCGCAGGAAATATTCGTTCGCGGACGCAAATCGTTCCTTCTCATTTTCCCAGTCGGCGCGGAGGGGGCCGGGCAGGGCCGGGAAAGGCACGAAAGAATTATTATGCGAAAAGTTCGTGCTGCTCGTTTCTTCCCTGATGGACGATTAAAACTTCCACCGTCGAATTTACAAATTCCTTCGGGGGCCTCGGTGGCGGGGGCATTAGTTCGCCTCGCCTGGCGAACTTAACCGAGCCCTACACCGTCGCCGACCTCGAATTAGAATTTAAATCTGCGGAACGGCTCGCTCGTAATGGCTCGATTTCTTTCGTCACGGAAACGCAGACGGCTAACCGCCCTCTGGACATTCGACAACTCCCCCCCGGTCTCCCCGGCCCCGTAGAATGTCGAAGTCGCCCCGGAAAAATAAACGGGACGTCTCGATTAACGCTTCGACTGTCGCAGCAGGATGTCGCCTTTGTTGAAAAATATTTGGACGCTGTTCCGACGCTGTTTCTACTTCTTTTAAGAAGCATCGATCAGATCATCGATATAGACGATTTGTTTAAATCTGTCAAGCAAATCAAGCTTTGTTAGGGTCTATGGAATTGCGAGGATCGTTAAAGCAATTGCTCTGATCAATTTTGGCTGCAAAGAACGGAAATATTCGCACGAATGCACAGTCACTGTGGTAACGATAGATTTCAAATTCTTTGTTCCATAATTATTGCGATCTCGGTAATTTATATATATTATTTATTCGGCAACGTCTCGGTTGGTGCAGTCTTGTTATTCTTAAAAGGCAGTATAAATTCGTCGCTTTAGATGTCGGTATTAAACATTAACAAAAGAAATGTCGCAACGTCTGCACGTTCTGCGACATCGCAGAAAGTATTCACCGAGATTTTCATTGATTTTTATTTCGACATCGGCGAGTACGAATTGACGAACTCGGGCAAACTTGCGCGAAAGAACGCGAACATCCGCGTGATGTAAAATAAAATAAAAAAATCTACGATACAATGGGCGATTACGAAAGCTTTGTTCCGATGTAAAACAGGCGAAGAAGAATATAGATCCAGAAGTAGTTTACGCTAATCGCAGTTTCTTTGTCTCCGGGTAAGGTCGCTAAACGCATTATGCGACGGTCGATGCAATTTCCATGCAATGCTCTTTTGTACTGCATATTTAAACGAGCGCGGGCTTTCAGAGTGTTAAGTGCCTAAATGCAGAAAATACGAGACGATAAAGCTGTCCCGTATGAACACAGAAATATTTAAACGGATTACAGTTCGACCGGTCTTTACCGAGGTAATTGGTTTACCGTCAAGATTAATAGCAGTCGAAGTGGCATGGGGGAGGAGGGGGGGGGGGCTTTTGTACGAAGAAACAAGGTCAGATATTATATAATCCTGCACTCGTTTCGTATGCACGATGAATAGGAACGAACTGTCGGTGACATTATGACGGTCAGTTTTAATCTGCCGGCAAAGAATTCCGATAGAAACGCGGATGTAGATTACAGTCGGCATTCCGGTGACGCTAAAATTATCTCTTCTGCAACCGGCGCGACGCGCTTATGCGGCCGTTACTCACGGCCGTCGTTAATGTAATTTAATTACACGATCGTAATCGTATTTGGAAGTTGAAGCAGTTCTAAGTTATATCCTAACATTCTTGTTAAAGTAGACACACGTTTCTGCGGCGCAGCGTTTTTTCTAATTAAATACACAGAGCCTGTCTATTTTCGCATCCGCTTCGCCTTCCTCATTTTCTTTTTTATTCGGATCCCACTTACACGAATCTCGCCGTCTCGAATCTCGTGTAGGTGCATACTTCAACTTCAACTGTTGTCGTCGTGTTCGCTGCTACGTCCGGTAGCATGCCAGAAAAATGACTCGTTATGTCCGAACCAAAAACCGTGTCACCCATATACGTATGCCTGACGTAACAGACAGATGGTTCAGCCTCCGCTGCGCTCATTGCCACACCGTTATCCATGCCATCCATCTACAACGATCGTCTTCTACAACGTCGTCGTTCCCGATGTACATTCTTCGGGCCATGTTCTTCGGCTACCATCTGGCATGTGCGACCTGGCACAACTGAAAAAAACTTGAACCGGGTCAAGAAAGAATGAACTACCGTTCGGAAAGCAGCGTATCAAAACCATGCATGTATACGGTACAGTCGAGTACAGTAATTGGCTGGCATTCGATAATCGCTTCGGGACGCTTCGAACTTGCATAATCGAGAAGAGGATGCTCGAAGTGTATGTATTTCGAGTGCCGACGTATTCGATGAAAACGCTGCTGATACAGGGTGTCCCAAAAGTCGCTCGCAATCGGGAAATATGGGGGTAGTTTCTTCCCGAGGTAGTTCGAAGTAACTCTTTCTTTAGCGCAAATGCGATTCCCAGGTTTTGTTTACGAGTTATTAACGAAAAACAGTGACCGATGAGAGGCGAAATCAGCTGGCGTGTCGAGTCAATTAGCGGAATTGGGCCTTGTGCAGGTTAGCTACCCCTCTACCGAAGCTACAATAATTTCTCCCGGAAATGCCAAATTTCGGGTTGCCGTGAATTTCCCTGTGTTACGTCGATGCAAAGGGTGGCACGTGGCCTCCGAATTGCCTTCGAATCGTGGCAAAGAATTAGAAATAAAGAAGGTAAGTCAACGTTTTCATAATCTACAGTCTGGCCGCTGCCGGCAAAAAAGAAAAACGAGCCACGATGCTCGAAGAATCGCGACCTAGTATTCCCAGATCTGCCGGTTTCAATTCCGAGCTCCGAGCATTTCTGGGAGAAATCACTGTACCCCGGAAGTGACCTCGAACAACGACCCGCTCCAAAATAGATCAGGCCAAAGGTAGACCCTGAAGGAAACGCTGCGCGTAGATTCGCCGATCGTGCCGAGCACCCAAGCGTGTCTCTTCCGGGTGCTGTTCGAGTACGCGCGTACCCAAACAATCGGTAGCAGCCTAATCACGGGGAAGGTGGTCCGGAGTCCACGGAACGTCGAGCTCGTTCGAGGCAGAGTGCACAGAATGCAGACGCGTTCGAATTCATTCCTCCCGCGACAGCGTCGCGCGTTGATTCGCATGCGCGCTGCCTCCGCGAACGCGGTCGGGAGGGTACGCGCGAGCTACCCGACGCGACGCGCTCTTACAGAGGGAGGAGGGGATACGTCGTATCAGGGGAAAAGATAGCGTAGTCGCGAGCTGAGGCTGACGATACTCGGAGAGGGGAGTAGACGACGGGAGCGAGCGCGAGCGCGAGAGAGGGTGCGTGGTCCGCGTGTCGTTGACAGCAGGCGGCGAAGCAGCGGCGAGCGGCGAGGCAAGCGGGTCGAGTCTCGAGTCTCGGAGTCAGCGCTCGACAGTCGAAGCCGGTCTCTCGGTGCGCGAGTATCGAGGGTGTCGTGGAGTCTCGCCGCGCGATCCGCGCGAACGTTTCGACGCGTCTGTCAAAGAATTCGGTTCCGCGCGGGGTGCCCGGGGTGCGCCGTTCCGAACCACGTGCGATCTTCCTGTGTGCCGTCAGGATCGCGAGCGGCCGCGAGCGAGCTCTCGAGGCCGCGGATAAGCTTCCTCCGACTCCCCTCATCCTCCTCCTCCTCCTCCTCCTCCTCCGTCCCGGTTCATTTTGGTGGTTGGCCCTGTCCTGTGTTTTGCGCTCGCGTTCGCCGGCGACGTTTCTGCCGTCGCGTGTGTCCAGTGTGCAGAAGTGTGTGAATGGCACGACGAAAGCGGTGCCGGCGAGATTACCGCGAGGACGTTCCCCCTGGACGATTAACTGTTAGGTAAGTGGATTCTGCTAGCCGGCGACCCGTACTGCGTCGTCGCTCGTGCCGCGTGACATTTAACTTGAAACGACCAGATCGAAGCGGACGGGTCAACCCTTCGCGCGCGGACCGCTTCGAAATTCAACGATTCGTTCGGGTTCGTCCCTGCTGTTCGCCGATGTTTTCTTATTCGGAGCGGGGACCGAGGGCGGAATTATTTGTTCGCGGTTTTCACCCTTGGGTGATTGGATTTTTATGCAAAGCGGAGGGTGGTCGGCGGGGGGCGTTTTTCGAGCCGAATCGTTCGTTTTTAGTTGGCTCGTACGTGCTTCGGAGATGGTTGCACAAATGGGAGCAATAGCGTTCACCGAATTGTACCGTGCATAGTTCAACCCCCTCGGCGCGCTGTTCGATTTCACCCCGAGAAGAGCTTCGCTTTCGATCGGAGTCTTTCCGGATAAGTATAACGTAGGTGACCGTCGATAATTTGTGTAGGCTGCACGTGACTCCGGGAATTGAATGTCAACCGTGATCTGAATTGCAGATGCTCCAATTTGCTAAACAAGAGGGTTAAGTCGTGCGTCGTTTCTAATCCCGCGAAGGTTCGAGGAAGTACATTGTACAACGTGAACCGGGAAACAGGGATTTTTATCTTGCGGTACATACGATGAGCTCGTTGTTTGGCTCCCTTTTTTTTACCGTCTGTAATTAACAACCTTAATCAACGCATTTATCGTATATATTAATGAAACTGTTTCGGAGCGTCTGTAATACAATGTAAGATCGAAAGTGATATGATTTGGAGCACGAAGTGATTATTCATTGCGCGCAATACACTAGGAAATTTCTATGGAACCGTTAGAAATTATCAGTCAACTTATACATGAGGCAGTCTCTCATTGACATTCATTTATGCGTAGCGTATGCGTTGTTGGAAGAGTCTCGGGGTGTTTGGAGCATCGGTAAAAAACAAAAGTGACAACATTTGGAGCATGAAAAGTTTATTCTGTTCTGCTCTGTTAGTTTTTACAGCTTGTCATTGTTCGTCGCTTTTTTTATTATTTTCGCTGTTATTGTTCTCGACGGATAATAACAAAAATTAAATATCATTTTCCGTGACCTGGAGCCTTGAATTTCCGTTCCACGGAAGATGTACTGGCGAGTCCCTTGGAATTTTTGCGATCGACGCGGTTTCAGAAGCGAACCTGCTAATCGAGTCTCTCCTCGCAGCGTGTACGAGGCATCGTTGCGTCTGTTTACGTTTGTCGTCTGCCAACCCAACGGCGAGAATAGCAGGCACGTTTGCGGTGCCAGGCCAATGGGGACGGTAAACTGTATCCAAGGTTACGGTCTAATTGTTTCAATTCAAGTTTTCACGAAATTGATCAGCGACGCGAACGCCGTCGTCCACCGCCACCACCACCGCCTCGGATTCCGGCTGCGTCGTAAAGAGCGAAAGGTGCTGAATTATTTCGAGGAGGGTGTCGCAGGCCATCTGCCATCGCGTAACCCAGTTAGCACTCCAATAACGAGGCACGCTATGCGCGACCTACATAAACGGATTTACACCGGATTAAAAATCTTGGGCGTAATCACAGGACAGCGTTCCCTGGCACCGTGTACAACCCACACGGTACCTTACAATATATCGTTTCCTTTTCTTTACACTGTAATTATCAGATGGCACGATGCAATTATTGAAAACTCGCGGCCGCAGCCTTTGTGCGGCACATGATTCCGCACGTCGACTTCGATGTCACCCATTCATGCGTCTGTCCAGATATATAAAAATGAATTTCTCCGATATTTCCAGCGCACCGAATTCGATTAGAATGATTAAAACGCGAGACAGTTGCCAATTTTTCTGTTTCAATTTCATTGAACGAACTCGCTTTGATCTTTTTGTTCGTAGTCTTGCTAACGATGCAAGGAAAAACGTCCACTTTTCAATGAATACAGTAATGTCTCCCTTATCGGACAATTTGGGAAGAGGAGATACGATTAAATCGAGCCTCGCGCCTCGTTTTACAGTTACGAATGATCAACAACTATAAAAACGATTAATTTCCGGACAGATGACAAAAATCCCGAAAACGAATTCTACTAGTCTCAGTAACTGGTCCAAAATTTCGCTATGGACCGAGGTGGACCAGTTACTGAGACTAGTGGGATTGATTTCCGGACAGATTTCCGCACAGGCTTGCGGTTGCTTTTTATAGTTACGAATTATCAACAACTATAAAAACGAGCTGTAAGGCTCGAACAATCGTGTCTCCTCTTCCCACATTGTTCATTTTCGTGCACGATCTGAGCGTCAATTAGAGAGACATTACTGTACATCGATCGAAATGAATTTCTGCGTTCTTCGAGTTCTATTTGAATGTTCGCGCAAGGATCGAAATAGTCTCGTAGCTTTTCGAAGCGTGGAAATTCGGTGCGTGACATGCATTCATGGGTTAGTTGCGTTTGCGGCTCGCGCCGCTCCGCCTTTTGTTGCTATCAAGTTACAAATTGTTGGAAGCGCGGCGCGACGAGATGCGACGCGGCGTTTTCGTGCATGCTCTTTCCCTATTTACACGGCTGTTACAGCGACAGTTCCAGATTTTCGATGTTGGACAGAGCTAGCAGGTTCGTGTGGCCTAGAATTGCCGACCGCGGAAGAGTTAAAGCGGCTGTATCTTAAAGGGACACGGTTCCGGAATTCAAATTTATTTCAGCCTTTCTCTCGGCATCCAGCTGCTGGTTGCTTCCGCCGTTTCCACGGCGAAATTTTCGAACCGTGTTTTGGAGCACGTACTCGCAGCAGTGTACGTGTATATGTATCTCGCTAATCGGATTTCACCGATCGAAGCCCGCCATCGTGCTTCGGCGGCGAAAAATTCGACCGTGTTATCGCGAATACATAAAACTCATCTGGCCTCGTTTAGATTTTGATTTCTGAACAGTTGAGTGCAAATCCTGATGCGGCTAATTAACCCTCGGCGAACTCGATCGTTTTACTTCTTTTTGCCGTCCTGACTTTAAATCGGGCTTATTTAGCAGTTGCCTATTAGCTGAACGTCACGGAACAGTTTATGCGAATCGATTAGAAACCCCGAGAAGCTATGCAATAACTATTATAAATTTTTGTCTTGCAATTGATACGGTACGCGTCGTTAAATAAATTAATTCCGAGTCACTAGAAGTGCATTTCTCTTATTGAAAATTGTTAAATGTTGAAAAATGTTCGAATCTCGTTTCCTATACTTTACTCAATCTCTGTTTAGTTGTTCCCATGATTATATTCCTGCATTTCTGTAATTGCAACGTACCCAGTACTACGTGCAATATTTTAACAAGTTTTGAAGCCTCGCTGGCACATCGGTCAAAATTCACATATCCACGTTTCTCGCGCGGTGCTACGTCTCGGCTGTTACATAAAATGTACAATGATTGCGTATAAATATATGCTATCTTGGCAAAGATACGTCTATCTTAAATTACAGCCGAGTGCAGACATCGGTCACCTCGAGGTGTTAACGCGAATAACTTCGATCTTCTCGATTGAAACATTTAGAATTTCCTGTAATAAATATACGTACAATATTGAAATGAAACTTTTAATTCGATTCCTGGTTTTTGCGATCGAACGAAAAGTTTCTACTTTGAACGACGATCCGCCGATCGCGAGATAAAGGATTGATAGGCAAATGAATGCTCGAGCAGCGCAAGAGATCGCGATAGGTTGGATGCTGAACACGAATCGCAATGGTATCCGGTATCTGCCGTGCATCGATAGAGAACTTCGTAGGCAACAATGCACCACCGATTTCCGGTGCTCGTATGCAATCGGATTCTTCGGAACTCGATGCGTAACGCAAGACGCCGCCGGTTCTCGGTTTCTCGATGTCGCGAAAAATCGAAGCGGCAATCTTCAGCTTTGATCTCGGACCCCGGCACATACGTGGAAGTGCGTGCTCGGGCCCGATCGTTAGGAAGATAACACCTGGAATTCCAATAGCGTGCCGTACGAATGCGCCGATATCTGGTGACAAACGGTGCATTGTCCGAACGTAAGCCAAGACCTCGTGATTACACGCTCTCGCGTTTCCTATGTATGTATAACGAGCTTTCGTTAGAACGCGTTTCTGGTTCGCGACTCCTCTGCCTCCGGCATATTGCTAATAAATTTACACCTGTCGACTACCGATCGGAACGATCTTCGCTCCACCCTGCTTCAGAATTTATCTGAATCTGAACGCATATCCCGCAGTCGTTTGTACGAGGCGAGTCGTTCGAACGATTCGACGGAATCGAATTTGCAGGGATTTTCTGCGAAATAAATTATTTTACACGATATATAAATTATATCAACATGATATAATATATATAAATAATATAACATAAATATAATATAGAGTATTATAATACTCTATATTATATTTATGTTATATATAATATATATAGTATTATAATATTATAATATAATATTATATTATTAATATTATTATATTTATGTTATAATATAATATATAAATAAATATAAATAATAATACACATGTAACATACGTATATATGATGTAAATTATTTTACGTAACATCTTTATGACTTTAAATAATATTAATATTGCTTAAGCATTTGGGACTCGAGGGTCGGGGAGCTTAACGTTTGAAGTCGATTCGTTATAGAATCGTGATCTTGTTAATACCGTTTCAACGAGCACAATTAAAAGCAGTTGCAAGGGGAAATAATTTTCTATTCGGTCTTTCGGCCATTCACCGACTCCTCCCCCTTTGATGGAACGCTACAAGTTCCGCTGCTGTTGGCATTATTTGCCCGATAATTTGAATTCATTTCGCGTGAAGTTGCGAACGTGATCGGAGAATATACCGGGCGCGCTTCGTGTTCTGCAAATACATGCATTTCTATCGCGCCGGAGAAATTATTCTCATTTGGGTATAAAGGAGCCTCGTAAAGTCTTTCGAAGCGAGCAGTGTCCATTTAAAGTACCAGCACCGAGATACCTCCCTTCGCTCGT